AAAGCGCTGGAGACGCTGTAGTACATATGCCAGGCCTGTAGATGGTGCTGTTCTCACAGAATCAGCCCATGCAAAGACAGTGTTAAATTGAGCGAAATGAGGAATGGCTCAAATGCATGATCTGTTTGGTATTTTGAAAAATAAAAAGTATAAATATGCCTTATATATGGTCCGACACTATATTATTCAAATTGCATGATAGCTCCACTTTAAAGAGATGAGTCAATGGTTCTGCAATTTCTTCGATAATTATTTTTACTATAATGATATCAATATTATTCCAATCGGTCGAGGATTTGCTTTTTTCATTTTCGCACAGTATCGATGATTTCTTTTTCTTCGACTGGTGTGAGGAAGAAAGAGCTATTGTTTTCATTCCAGAGGTCCGTATCTTCCCCTTAAGTTGTTTCTACGGTTTTAATTTTTTCTGCCAGATCTGGCCCCACATTTACAAAGAATTCATTAAAACCATTAACCACATCTTCTGTATTATGAATAACATTATTTTTGTCCACAAAAAACTCAGGGTAACCAGTTTTTTTTCTCCATTTCTAATGACACTATTTAATACTTTCCATAAACCTTTCATATTATTCTTATTATTCTCTAATATTTTATTATAGTATTCTTTTTTAAATATCCTCAGAATATGGGTTAATTTATTTTTATATCTTTTATATTTATTTTCTGCTTCTGAAGTTCTATATTTTATGAATTGTTTATATAGTGTATTTTTCTTTTTGCAGGCATTTTTTAGGCCATTAGTGATCCAGGCACTGTGAGTTTGTTTGTGTCTCTCTCTGCATTGTTTCACAGGACAGTTTTTGTCATAAAGTGCTATGTATGAATGTTTCCTATGGGAAAATCTTTACACTGTGTTGGGCAGACCTGTGACCCTCTATAGCTGCCTGTTCCTCCTAAAGACCTTTATAGATTTAAATGCAAACATCTGGTGCACTTTGACAGCAACGTTAAAAGGGTTGGATCAATAGAGAAATTGCTCATGTAATATATCAATATAAAAAGTGAAAGTGGTTTGAACTATTGCCTGCCCATTTTTTTTTTACAAGTCACCATTGTCTAGGGCCTAGGGCGATGAAGCGAAAGTATTACTCACTAAATGATATGTAACTTCCTGATGTTTCCACATGATGGTGCCATGGTGTCATACATGAATTCAGGACAAACAAACTGGAGACCATTGCCAGTAACTGAAAATTATTATTTTTTAAAAAGGGATTCAGCATATTTTTTTTATTCATCGTTATATTAATTTCTGCATTAAAACAGAACTGGGTTAAAATAAAAAAACGAATTTGGTTGTCCAAATACGCACCGGCCTTGAAAAAGGTGGAAAGTAAATTGTAAAACCCACATTACATTTAATTGAAAGAGGAACATAAGTGCTATTTTAAATCATTACAACACTTAACATAAGCTCCTATCCC